CGTCCGCTACCTTTTGTGCCTTTAATAACTTTTCCTTAACTATCAATTTGCGCATATCCTTCGCTGACCACCTATCTTTGTATCTGTAAAACATTTAACAAGAAGAAATTGGGGTTCAAATCAACAGAATTAACATTTCTTTTTGGTTCTTTGATTTTTGATCTTTCTGAACAGTTCTATGCATTGTTCAATGATTTGTTGACCAAAGAACTGAACAATGTTCATTGTAATAGATTTGTTGCATTTTGCACTAAAGTTTAATCCAAGAAACGATTAGTTGAATAATTCCTTCATTCTCAATTTTCCAACTCTACTTTATCTTTCTTTTTTCATTTTTAAAAATTTTAATTTTATTCTTATATACATTTAATCTGAAAAAGAAAAAGCATTTAAAAGTTTCACAACTTACTTTGGATTCAATGATTTTTTAAGCATTTTAAGCGCTTTTTCACTAAACGTTTCCCAACGTTTTGGTAGCTGTGGACTTTTCCGTTTTACCCACTGTTCCCATTCCCAATACGGTTTACACATTATTGTCGCTTTTTGCCAGGGAAATTTGCCTTTTAAACAGTAATAGAAAACAATACCTAAACAGTTATAAATCAGAAGCAATTAATTACAAAGTATTCAATTATGTAATTAACAATTAATGACACATTATTTTTTTCGTCTGTTTTTTTTTTTTTAACTTTTACTATTAACAAAAAAAAAAGATGAATGTAATAACAGCTTAACAATAACTATCAAAAGTCTGAAAATGGTTGTTGGATGTTTGTGCAAAGGCATTGATAGTGCCTTGAAAAATGTTGAATACTTTGTGACAATAAATGTTTTAGCAATAATAATTCATAATAAGAAATTGCCAAAAAAAAAATAAATAAATAAATAAATAAAATAATTTTCTTGTTTAAAACTGTTTAAAAATTAACCGAATTTTAAATGGAGCTTATTAAACGTTTATCAATGACGGTGTAAATTTGTTTCCATCAAAAAATGTTATCCTACTTTTTTTTTGTTCTTGGAAAATCTTTTTGATTAACGCAAAAACAGTACAATGTTCAATTTTAGATTCACAGCCTTTCAATTGCAGTTATATCGTTATAAATGATTCAGGAAAAAAACAAAGAGACAAAAAACAGAAAAATTTTGTGTTTTTATAAGGAAAAAACTTTATTCTGTTGTTGAAATTCTCAGGCGAAAAATTCATTTAACCTTTAACAAAAAACTGCAGTTACAAAAAAAAAAAAAAAACTTTTAAAATTATTTAGAAAAAAAAAAAAGAACAGCATAATATAGCAAATTTTAGTTTATTTATTAACGGCGAATCTCAATTCCGGCAAATAGTTAAAAAGGAAAAAAAACCCAAATAAGATTTCTTCTGCTTTTTACATCATATTTTTCAATTTTTTACGCATTATCATTTTTCTTCTGTTCTTTTTTCCTTTAACAGCCAACTGAAGTTACTGTTTTTCCTTTTTCTGTTTGAACAGTCGTTTTTCATACTATTCTAAAAATTACAATTTAATCTAACAAGTATTTCTGAAACTTAAATAGACACAATTCTATGATGTATCTTTTAAATATACATTGGACAATATTGGGGATGTTTAAAATGAATAAACTGTTCTGCGTTATGCAGACTTTTACAACACCTATTCAAGAACATTCCAAAAAAAAAAACATAGAACTTTAATGACGTAAAATAAGCAACGTTACTTTCAACTATAACTAAAGTAAAAACTTTAAAGAAGAAAAAAGAACTAGAATGGAGGAAGTTTGTAAGCTAAAACAAAAAAGAATTTGGCTGATAAAAGTATGAAAAAAAAAGCTGTTTACCAAGTGCCCAAACATCAATGGCTTTATTGACGGTAAAAACTTCGTTGACAACAGTTTCACATAGTTCCGGAGCCTGATAATTGTTCACATATTCTTGATATTTTACTGTTGAATCCACTTTTCTTGCTAGACCAAAATCTGTTAATTTTACCTGTAATTTTTGCACAGGTTTTATGTTTATCACAACAGTCAAATGTTTGAATAAACAGTGAAGTGGAAAAAAAAAAAACATCCCATAGACATTTGACATATTTATAGTGAAAATATCAGTTATCGCTTGAAAATTAGAGCTAAAAGCAGCATCAAACATTTTGCTAGGCTGCTTTTTAGCAACTGTAAATTTCTGCTTTTTTTTTTCACGAATTATGAAGCGATAAAAAAGACAACAAAAAAATTTTTAGCATCAAAACCTTAGCATATTCTACAGGATCAAAAATTAATATATGCTCAGCTTTGATATTACGATGGACAAGATTTTCGCTATGCATAAATTCAACTGCAGACAATACTTTTTCCATGACGCTACGTGTTGCTGCTTCACCAATTCCTGAAAAAAAAAATTGCATGTTTTAAAATAAAATTAAAAACAAAAAAAAAAAAGAAGTAGAAAAGGTAATGACAAAACAGAAAAGTGCAAAAAGAAGAAGAAAAAACTAAAAATGATGAATGATAAATTATAGCTGAATTTAAGTGATTCTAAACAAATATTTTGTCAACAAACATTTTGGATAATAACAACAACAAAAAAAAAAAAGGTGAAAAGAAAAGACGAGTGGAACAAAAAAAAAAAAAAAG